GTAACCATGAACAGTTACAAATTTAAGCAAACCACATGTATGTCAATTTCTTTACAATCTTTTTAAGAACTCATGATCTCTATTTGGTACAAGCAAGACTATCTGAAAATGGTAATTATTCCATATTCTAATACAATAATGTGTTATGCATTTTCAGTATTAGTAAATTCAGTAAAAGGACACCAAACTTTATAAAAAGCATCAAGTTCTACTTAGCTTCTTTGTGCTGTAAGATTCCTAGTGATTTTTTGCATAGGTACAAGGTTCCACATTTCTATATGATGAGAAGAGCATGTTTGCTAATTTCCATTTAACAGCTATGGCCAACCTGGCTACTACCCACAATAATGGCATGAGTTCTTTATATCTATCTTATTTGTATATTAGACAAAATATAGAGATAGAAGCCCCAGTTTTACAGATGTTATTTTTTGTGCAACTTCACTAGTGAAGGCAAGAACCTGGGCTCAGAACCTTTACAGCAGCGGGCAAACCGAGCACACAGGCAAGTAGGTGCCTCTGATGGCTCTACACCTCAAGCAAGTATGGCTTGTATGACAATTAAAATAGCTCTGCTTTACTGATGTAGCATGCCAACTGTGCATCTTCCACTCTGTGGGGTCCAGAATCAGGTCCCAAGAGTCCCATTCCAAATCTCTAACCTCTAGACCACACATAATTAGATAGCATCATGAGGATGCCCTGTAAAAAGTGAGTGAACAAATCATGGAAATTCCACAAGCAATGCCTAGTAAGGAAGCACTGTTAGCCACAAGTATACTTGCTTCAAAGGTATAATCACATCACCATGTGTTGCCTGTGTAATTTCCAATAGGAAAGAAGCTGTGGCTTAAGTCTGACTAGAAACACCCTTGATGAGCAAGTTCCACTCTTGTCCTTTACATATTGCAAGGCCAAGCCCTAGCATTAAGGAACAAAAATTAAGCTTAGCTCCTGCCTCTCAAATAAATTCATCTCCACCCTATCTTTTATTTTAACTTTGGTTGAGTTACACATTTAGTTTTAGCACTTTGTTGATTTTATTCTCAAAGTTGGTTTTAGCTTGGTTCCTGATTCATCTAAGGTAAGCCTGAGTCATTTCCAAGTAATTGCCTTATTCCAATAAGTACAGTGGTACCTTGGCTCATGAACTTAATCCGTTCCATGACTCTGGTTGTGACCCAAGTCAAATTTCCCCATAAGATTCAATGTAAATAAGGTTAATCCATTCTGGCCCCTCCAAATGTGGTTGTGAGCCAATTTTTGGTCATGAGCTGACTCAAATTTTCCCATAAGGTTCAGTGTAAATAAGGTTAATCCATTCTGTGACTATTTTTTAATCAGAAAAATTTGAAACAAAACGACAAAGAACAACAAAGTACTGTACAGTACAGTGGAGAATACTAACCTAGGTGGGGGGGGAGGTTATTATTTTGAGGGAGAGTCCCCCTCCATAAGGACACTGGGGAGATCTCTCTCAGGGATTTCCTTTCTTCTTTGTCTCTTAGCTGCAGGGTCAATTATGGTGAAAAATCTGTCTATAGTCACTTGTTTTTTCCTGTGCTGCATAACCCTCCGGAAATGAGAGACCACGTTATCGTTCATCAGATTCAACGCTCTGTTCATTACAGTTATGTTGGGGTGGTGCTTCTCAAAGAAATCCTGGCACTCATTCCATTTTTTCATAATGGATTGTATCACATCACTGCTAACCTCCTCCCTGTCTTCCTCTTCCTCAGTGGAATCCTCCTCAGCAAGTGCCTTCTGCTACTGCCTCTGGAGTTCAGCAAGTTCTTCTGTCGTCAGCTCCTCTATCTCTTCCCTGCATGAACGCAACTGCAATCATGGCCATCTCCCCATTCAGGGGGGTGGGGAGATGGCCGCAATCTTGGTTGCCATCCAATGCGGAGTTCACAACCCAAGTCAAAATTTTCATGAAATTTTTGTTCGTGACCCGATTTGGTTGTGAACCAAGGTGTTCGTGAGCTGAGGCACCACTGTATAGATCAGGGGTCGGCAACCCACGGCTTCGGAGCCGCACGTGGCTCTTGAATCCCTCTGCTGCGGCTCCGTCGCTCAAAACGCGCTGGCACAGCTGCTGATCTGCTCGAAGCTCCACTCAGGAATGCAGTGTTAGCTAGTTAAGTAAATCGCTACATTCCTCTGCTAAAAAGCTTCCTGCAGGCTCTCATGTTACACGAAAGGCTGCTGAAAAGATTCTCTTTGTCCCAATGTAATCTCCTTCATCTGAATGTTAAAAGCTGTGCATGGGACCTGTCACAATTCACATCACTTGACTGTTTATCTGCTAATCAGTCACTAAAACACCTATATCTGTGATGTACTGAGCTTTACCCCCCTCCAACCATGGATAAATCCGAAGAAAAGTTTCTGAAGAAAACCGAAGGTTTAATGATACGTGGGTAGATTCATTTGCTTTTACTGCTGATGAACTTATGGGCTTTGCTGTTTAATGCATGCAGCCCTTTAGCACTGACTGACTCTGCAGTAAGTTGTTCTATTCAAAATATATGAAAGGAATCCTACTAGTTTATAATGTAAGATTAAAAATAACAGTTTTTAGTGACTGAACAAGAGCTGCAGCTAAATCATAATGAAGATATAGATCTACTTCTTTGTTTTAAGAAGATTCTTACAGAAGATCCAGCAACATTATAACATTGGGAGAGGGATGTTTGTACAGTATTTCACTACATGATAAAAGGATGAGGGCACACAGAAGCAGACGGCATGTTTGGTTTGCTGCTAGTGGATAATATAAGTTTGGCTTTTTATTTCATAAATGTGAGGACTCAGATAGACACTGAGTATTTTATTTGAAAGTAACTTTCAACCCAGCGTCTTTTTGTTCTGAGTTCAAAATGTTTTTGTTGCATGCAGAAATAAAAGTGTTTTCTGTGTAGCAGTTCGTTGATTTCATAAATGCAACACACTATAGTTTTTTTTATACATATTATAAAGGTAAAATACTATATATGCAGTGTTATCTTCATTTTAGATGTCAAAAGGGTTTTGTGGCTCCCAGTGTTTTCTTTTCTGTGGGAAATGGGTCCAAATGGCTCTTTGAGTGTTAAAGGTTGCCGACCCCTGGTATAGATTATTAGAAAAGACAAGTGGCCTCTTTAAACCTCTTGTCACATTTAGTATTCTGGCTACATGAACATGTGAATTCCAGGATAATTTAGAGACCAGTTTCTCATTACTGTTTTTAATACATGTGATAAAATGGAAGAAATGTCAGGCAATAACATTTGCACTATAAAGAATTTCCAAACCAAACAGGAAGAGAAAAGAAAACAACCAGTTGCATTTTGGAAGTATCTGCTATGTTTTGTTATCACAGTTGTGGGATACTGAAAATTTTTAGTTAACATTTCTTTACTGGTGATAGGAAAGTTTGTAGTGTGTTATTTTAGATATTTTTCTTGAACTTGAGTAGCATATGATTCACATAAGCAACTATGATGTAACTGGCTATGTAAATGGAAAAGAAGTGCAGCAATCACACCTTTACAAAATATGGAGTTTAATTCCATATAATTCCATATAAATCCATGCAGTTTAATTCAAGGTATAAGCATTATATAACATGTGACTGCTACCTTCTACTTTAAAAAAATAATACAATGAATAAGGTCTCTGTTTCATAACGGAGTGACTAACAGTTTTGCAGGCATCTTGCTCACCTGTTTCTACTATGTCACTGCCGATAATTCTGTATCTCTCTCTTTTTTTTAAAGTCCTGCATCCAGATCTATTACCTGTTAGGTAATACAGGGAAGAGTAGCAGGATCCACCAGGTGATGTTGGACAGTAATTCCTAACCACTATAGTCAGTGGTGAGGGATCATGGGATTTGCCATCCGACAACAGGAAGGCTAGAAGTTGCCATCACTGCTTTAACAGGATCAAGCCAAGGATCAAGGTCTATCAAAGATCTGTAAAATTTATATGTCACATTTGTTTTTAGTGAAAGATTGGATAACCTTATATGATTTTCCTGATTCATGAACCATTGGCTGTTGATAAAAATCAATCAAACTTAGCCCACTGGTTTCTGCACATTAAAAGTGCACCAGCAGGCCAGTCCCCCCAGTCAATTAACCCTATTTATTCATAATGATGTTATAATTACTATGCAATGTGTGTACACTATAGAATTTCTGAAAAGCTAGCCGTAGCTAATATGATTGTCACTATAATCAAGAGTGTGTGCTTGACCCTCAATGAATCTTGTTTCAGACATATAAAGAAAACCTTCACTAACAAAGCTTAGGGAAGTTGACTGCTGTATTAAGAAATTTGCATGTTTTTAAATGTTTGGAACAAAGTCATACAATAAGGCAAAAATATTGACCAAAGATAAAGTGAATGAGATGTGACCCTGTGAACTGTATTGTGGGCTTAAGAATAGAGTAGGAATGAACACGTGGCTTTCTAAAGGGCTTAACAGTGCAACCCCACATACTGCTTGCTTAGAAGAAAGAGATACTTCCAGGTAAGTGAGCATAAGATTGCTGCAATTGTAGGCAAACCTACACAGGCCAAAGTCCTCCAGCTTCCAGCATTGCCTTTTTTGTCTAAGCATGCATAGGAGCGAGCCCTGATACTGTAGCCGGCGTCATGTATTTTGTAGTTGAGTCGTCTGTTGGGCAATTAAAAAATAAATCGCTTGCCTCACTCGCAAGCAAAAGGCTGGCTACACTAACGGGGGCGGCAAGAGCACGGCTCGCCTATGCACCCCTCCTCTAAGTGCAAGTATGCTAGGAATGTGCCTCCCTCCGCTGCCTCCCTCACGCTGGGGAAACAGCCGCCGTCCGCTGCGCCGCTGGAGACCGCTACACGCAGCGTGCTCTCCCGCGCCTTTTCTCCCGCGCTTCCTCCCTGGGCTTGCCTGGCTCTCCCCTCCTTTGGCGCGTCCCTTCCCCGCCCACCCGGCGAGGAAAGACCCTGCCGGCTCGCCGCTCCGCCTGCTGCAGTAGCCTCCGCTAGGGCTCCGAGGCTGCCGTCGTCCGCAGCCTGCCTCGCCGGAAGGCTGGAGCGAGCGTGGAAAACCCTGGTGACTTCTGCATCACCGGACCGCTGGCTTTCTGTTGCCGACTTTAAAAAAAGTAAATAAACGGACTGTAGCTACTGGACCACTTCAGGTTTTAGCCTGCGCAGACCACAGTCGTGGCAAGAGGTTTTGCGAGCGACGGATTCATTGCGAGAGGTATGATGCCCAGGCACTGCGGGATGTGTTGCTCTCGAGCTGCTGGAAGCGAACTGCATGTTTGGAAGCCAAAACGCTTCAGTCCCGAGGCTACTTCCCGGCAAGACAGTCCGGCTTGAACGAAACGGGATATAACTGTGGGAAGCCCCCTTAGATTTGCCCCGTTGCCTCTGTGTGTTTTGTGTGCATGTGTTCTCCGTTGACACGAATACGATCTGAACTGCGACGTTCGAGTTTGTTGAAGTGAATGGCAAAAAGCATGTTTAAAATTAAAGGGTGTTGGCGAAGAGATAATAAGGTCTGCAGTGGGTCAGAAGTCTATAATGAAGCTGCAAATCTGGGGGAAAAAGTCTAGACTGCAGTTCCATGGACACTGCGGAGTTAGTGCCACGAAGCATTAGAATAAGGCTTCCTAGGAGCAAGCTGTTACTTCTGTTTAGCACCTGAAGAAGTTACTGACACTACCTGGTGTTGCAAAGACTCACCAGTGTTTGATATAATCGTAGTTTCACGGATAGGGATGCTCACTCCTAAGTGGACATCAGTATGTTTAGAAGATGCTGAACAGCCTTCTAGGAACTGAGAGCATCATTGTGATTCCTCAGGGGCCAGTGGTAAGGGAGACAGACTAAAGTTAATAATGTTTGCACAAAAGCTAAACCTGCCAGGGCATATGATAATTCATTATCTTGGCTGTGCAGAACTGGTAAGCAAGAAACAATTTAAGAGTCTGCTGAGATTCTGTACAGATTTGTTAATGCAAGAGATTTTGCTTCTCTGGAACAGGCAGTCTTTAAATTCAGAATCAGCTATGCCTTTCCTTTTTGGAAAACTGACACTAATTTTATCCAGATTGCCTCTTCTAGCACTGACAAGCAGTGTGTTGGAACCACAAGTCTCTTTACTAAGGTTACTTATTTGATTTTCAGCCTCAGAAGCCTTGTTTAAATAAATGAAATGAATTCAGTAGAGAGAGCAGGAAAAGTTGAAAGAGCGGGTATAAGACCTAAAGAATGATTATAGTTAAATAAAAATGACAACAGGATTTTGATTAGGCTGCATGGAACCCCCCAAAGCCATGGGCTGAAGAGAGTAGTGGTTTCTGTAAGATCAAAGTACCCTAAACAGAATGAATTTTATGCATTATTTAAGCCACAACATTTTTATAAAGTTTTTTAATGTCCTTTGATGATAATCTGAAGAATGGTTATGCTGCCCCAGAAGCTGCATAGGCCCCTCCCTGGAAATGAGGGGATGTGATTGGTGGTCTATTGTATAATAAGCAAGTGATTTAGTGCACTGGATACTAAAGTATTCAATGCACCAAGAAATTATTCTTTCACTCCCAGTGGAGCATGGTAAAATAATTTAGAGGATAAAGTAACTCATCAAGGGTGTTCCTTAGAGACTTCCCAGGTCTTATTTCATTGCAAAGTGCAATGGGATTAGTGTTGACAGCACTAACCTTAAGAACTCAATCAAGCCATCACCAATAACAGAGAAAAAACAGTTTCTTTGCCAAAAGTAATTATTTCTCTCCATGCAGTGGTTTCAAACTTCTTTGGAGACCACTAGTGGAAAATTGTCTTCCTTTGAGAGCCACCTGTCAACTGCATTCTCAGTCCAGTAGCAATTCTCCCCACTTAACCCTCTGTGAAGCATTCTCCCACACTCCTAACTGGGACACTGATGACTCATGCACCAAGCTCCTGTGACTCATTGGTGGCTTGTGAGCCTCTGTTTTAGAAACACACCACTCTATTGTATTTGGGATGTAAGTCTGGAGCTAAGGAGAAACTGAAGTGGCCTACAGAATCCTAGAATTTGTTTCCAAAGAAACAAAGTACAGCTTCAGAAAAACACTATGCTATTTAATGCTCTTCCTTCCAAACATGTCATTGAAGTTTAATTTAGCTACTTGCATATACCTGCCAAATCAGTGGCTATCTGATCATGGCTGTCATTCCACTGTGTCTTTCAAGTAATTATTTATATAGTCACATACAGCTGGCATATCAGTGACTCTATTTCTGGTTCATTTAACCTAAATTCTTTTCAGTTATTTGGTGACCTTTTGAGTATGATATGAGTAGGCTGCACTAAGGTTAACTTGGAAAAAGACTACATCATATATTTTCAGTTCTATAGGAGTGGTCTGGATTTAAGTACTGTATTTGGGGAAATCTATGGAATTCCCACTAATAGTCTAATTGGGAAGATGGACTGATAAGAAAAGATTGATTTGAGCGGGATTGTAGTCAGTTGTAAACTTTCAAGCATTGGAATGAATAGTTTAAATTTCTGTAAGATAATATGATTAGACTGCTGGAGTGCTTATTAGGAAAGAATAGGGTCCAAGTAGTGCATTAAAGGGAAGAATAAGTTTTGTGTATTGGTTGATTCTGGATAAGCAATTCCATATCACCATAATGGTGAGATCCACCTTGAAGTCCTGGGACAGAGCAGGAAAAAAATCTAAATTTCTAAAGTTCAACAACTACTCCACCAGTGGTTTTTAAGAGCTGTTGTGAATGGGCTCCTGGACATATAATTGGAACATGATACAATCCAAGTTAGAAATCCATTTGAGCTACAGCTTTGTTATATTCTGAAGTGAATGCAAGATGTTTTAATACCTTCCCTTAGAAGCCCATGATAACAGGAATGTAGATAATGTTGTTAGTTAATTGCATCTTACTTTACTGTAAACGTTATTTTCTTTGTAGGGATTGCTTTGGGCCATGTATATTGGCATTGCAATGATGGATGCACATACAAATCAATGGGATTTCTGAATGTGTAAAATGCAGGACTGCAGAACCAAAAACTGCAATTATGAAGTCCCAACTAAATATGGTAGCTATGATACCTTTCACCCTGCTGGGGGCAGGAGGTGAGTGACTTCAAGGGGATGACCTACAGCAATGCCCACAGCTCTATTCTTTGGATGGGGCAATGAATATGCATGTATGCAGGGGTTTCTCCATCTCTCAGTCTAGGTGGCACCTTCAGACCCTTGTGTTTGTGAAGATCTGCCCATAGAAGCATGTTTCTATCTGTTGATAGTTTTCCCTCATTGGATTCTGGAGATTCAAATTAAAAATTAATTTCAGATAAACTATTATTGGAATGTCATAAAGATACTAAAACAAGTTCTTTATTCAATTGTACAGTCTTAAAAGAAACAAGAGTTAAAAAAGCAAGGAGCAGATTTTGTCGAATAAGAACTTGGGCAGTTGCCATTCAGTGATTCAGGCCACTGGTCCATCAAGCCAGTATTGTCTGCTCTAATTAGCAGCAGATCTCTGTCTGCAAGTAGGAACTGCAAGTAGCAGTGTCTACTCTGCCACTGAGCTATGGTTGCACTTCATCTATCAGTGACAGTATATTCAAACTAAGCATAGAATGACTTATATCCCTTCTAGGAGTTGCATAAAATGCAGTATTGGATAAATCTAGATTGTTCTGCCCTCTAGTGGCTGCATCACAAGCATGGTGTTTAAGAAGAATAGCATGTTAAAATAAAGAAAAACTAAGTTCTTTTACATATCAGCAACCCAGCCTTCACAATGGGTAAAATATTGTAAAAACAGATTAAACAGTAAATATAAAAGACACAATTACATTTATAATCCAATTAAGCATTCTGGTATCTTTCTGGTATCTAAATAGAAAAGTCTTATAGTGTTTCCAAAAGAGGCTTAGAACTGATTGTCAAAAAGTGTATTTGGTAATGGTGAATGTTTAAATATTTATTACCAGAGGTAGTGTGCCAATCTCTAACATGGTTCAAATGGGCCATTTTTTATTATCTGTTCTTTGCCCAGAATTGGAACATTACTACGCATGTAGGGCAGGTGCTATATCTTTATCCTATCCACCTACCATCTTGGGTCATGAAAAAAGCAAATTACCCACAAGGGTCAGAAATACACAGGTGCCCTTTAAGGACTGGTGCATTTTTCTCAACCTGGTGTCTTGGACTTCAGCTCCCATAAGTCTTAGTCTGCATGGCCAATTGTTAAGGGTTGCAGGGAGTTATAGACTAAAGCATCTGATGGTGAGGAAAAACTGTTCTAGAGCCCTAAATATGTAATTGTAGTGAAATGTAGCCCTGTTGTCATGGAGGCTAAGATACTATATCACCTACAAGAGATCTTTAAAAATTAGAGAATTCTTGTACTATGAATGGCAGCTGTAGGAGGCTAAGCAGCTTAGGTGTTCAGTTCAGAGATATATGACTGAGTGGGAGGAAGTGCTTATGGAACCCTTCCCCTCTGTTTTGAAGTCAAGGAAGGGGAGACTGTAGGAGAGCCAAAGAGTGAGCTAGGACAGGCTTTTCTGCCATTGCTGGGGCAGTCTTCAAACATTACACTCTCCATTACATCACATATGCCATATGCTAAGAGGTTAATTATAAGCTACCTTTCTGAGTTTGCTTTAGTAGGAAACATGTACTTAACAGACCAACATGCAATATAAGAAGTTGATGTGGTCTCTGTGGCCGTGTTAGTTCTGGTTTCAAACATTGGCAACACTCTGCTCATTTTACTACAGAAACCATGTAAGGGAACAGAAGCTATTAATACCTCGAGCTAGAAAGGATCTCTCACTGAGAAGACGTAGGGCCAGTTTTAGAAGCTTAAAACTGTTCTGTGCGGTGGAGGTTCCAGAAATACAGAATGGAGACAGCGGCATCTAGAAGCAGGTCATATTTCTGCTTTCTGCATGAATTCGATGGCATATGTTTCAGTGACTTTGCTTGAATTAATTGCTATCATTAAATGACCACTATGCACACAGATATGCCAGGTGAGATATGCGCTTCCTCCACATAGAAAAGTTGTACCCACAGGGTTAAATGGGTCCTTAGCTATTAGTTTACAAAATGTTTCTCAGCTGGCTGATAGAATGGGGGTGGGGGGAACAGCTGCAAGGGATGTTGTGGGCTGCAAGGAATGACAGATACCTCTTTTCATTGAGTGTTTTAATATTGTAAC